GCTTACATTTTTATGGGTTATGGAGTAATGAAATGCGAGCGATCTAAATTCATTCTAACATGCGAGCTGCTGTCATGAGATGAGACCATACAAGGTTATAATTCTACTGTAGCGGAGACAAGGCGTGAATGGAAATAAAGTTAAATGTCCACGATGTGGTTGTGGTTGTGGGTGTGGGTGGGTGCTGAAAAGTGTTACATGGTGGCAGAGAAGAAAGTGGAGCATTTTTGTGATTTGATTGAACCTAAGAAATCCAACTTCATCTTCATCATTTTCACATGAAACACCATTTTTGTGATTTCTTGGGCTTCTAACCCGAGCATAATAAGCATCCTAAACACTGCAACAATGGTTGACTAGTTTCACATTTCAAAGCTGGCAAAGCAAAGCCTATCTGTGTGTTCAGGATCAGAAATTATCATCTTTGACTTAGGAGCCATCCATCTAAATAAGAAATCCTGATACTAATAAAACATGAATAGAAATCCTTTTTTGTTGATCCTTGGAAATTCAAATGGTGCTTAATTGATCCTTTTTTGTTGTTTCTTGGAAATTCAGGTATTTGGAAGAAAAAAAATGGTTGGAATTTGCATCTTCTTGATGGGGCTTCTGCTTCTGATCAGTTGCTTAGCTGAAGCAGAATATATGAAATATAAAGACCCCAAACAACCCATAAATGTTCGAATCAAAGACTTAATGAAAAGGATGACTTTGGAGGAAAAAATTGGGCAAATGACAGAGATTGAACGAGATGTTTCATCAGCTGATGTGATCAAGAATTACTGCATAGGTAAGTTCACTCATCACTTTTGTCCATAAAATGGAGCTTTTCCAGTTAAGCTAGACGTATATAACTTTTGGCAGGGAGCCTGGTGAGTGGAGGAGGAAGTGTTCCAGCTAAAAACGCTTCAGCAAAGGCTTGGATTGAGATGGTGAATGGTTTTCAAAAGGGTGCTTTATCTACCCGACTTGGAATTCCAATTATTTATGGTATTGATGCTGTTCATGGCCATAACACTGTTTATAATGCAACAATCTTCCCTCATAATGTTGGCCTTGGAGCTACAAGGTAAGTAAATTTAAGGAATCCTAAGATTTAACATTAACCTAAAATTTCTGGCACTTTTTTATGAGATTTGTATTCTTATCAAGCAGGGACCCTGAACTTGTGAAAAAGATTAGAGCTGCAACTGCACTTGAAGTTAGAGCTACAGGAATTCCATATAATTTTGCACCTTGTATTTCGGTACATTATCAAATTCAACAACTAATGGATGTCAGGATAGAACTCTTTAGCTTAATAGAGGATTCTTGATAAATCTTCTATTTATACAGGTTTGCAGGGATCCAAGATGGGGTCGATGCTACGAAAGCTATAGCAAAGATCCTAAGATTGTTCGAGCAATGACTCAGATTATACCGGGACTACGAGGAGATGTTCCTGTCGGTTCTCGAACGGGTGTCCCATTTGTCTCTGGAAAGTAAGAAATACAATCTCAAATTTTAAGATGAATGTTGAACAATCTTTTGCTTATTTATCTTCTTGTATTCTGAATGATCACAATAATCTAATTATCAACATATACAATAAATTATCTTCGTAGAAAACTATTAACATATTGAAAAAATTTCCTGTTAAATTCTATGATTAAATTTAAAGTTGTAACCGGCCGTATAAACTTTGCAAAGCTGCGGGCAATTATTAGGAAACTTTCTAACATTCCATGTTGAAAGTCATTATTATATATTTGATTCTATTTACACAGGACAAAGGTTGCAGCTTGCGCCAAGCATTTTGTGGATGATGGTGGGACAATTAATGGCATAAATGAGAACAACACTGTGATAGATTGGCATGGTTTGCTTAGCATACACATGCCAGCCTACTATGACGCCATTATCAAGGGTGTATCAACTGCCATGGTTTCATACTCTAGCTGGAATGGAGTTAAGATGCATGCTAACCGCGATCTTGTCACCGGATTCTTGAAGAATACTCTTCGCTTCAGGGTATAATCGATTCCTTGTTGTGTAATTGAGATTTCTACATCTATGTGAAGTAACTGAGAGTGAATCTTGTGAACTCTTTCAGGGTTTTGTCATCTCAGATTGGGAGGGTATTGATAGGATCACAAGTCCTCCACATGCTAACTACACATACTCCATTGAAATGGCAATCAATGCAGGCGTTGATATGGTGAGTTATTATTCTCAGATTCCTATAAAAATTTCGGGAACTTTTTATCTTCTAATGCTGAAACTGCATGTGTGCCAGGTCATGGTCCCAGAGAACTATACAGAATTCATTGATGGTCTAATCTCCCTGGTAAAGAAAAATGTCATCCCCATGAGTCGCATTGATGATGCAGTGAAGAGAATTCTGAGATTCAAGTTTATGATGGGTCTATTTGAAAATCCCTTAGCCGATGACAGCTTGGTCGACCAGCTTGGAAGTCAGGTCAGTTAGTAAAAAATCAAATTTTACTTCTTACGTTACAAGAACTAGCATTGAAAAATTCTTAATGTGGTCCTGTTCAGGAGCACAGAGAATTGGCTAGGGAAGCTGTAAGGAAATCTCTTGTGCTGCTAAAGAATGGTGAATCAGCTGATCAGCCATTGCTACCTCTTCCTAAAAAGGCATCAAAAATACTAGTTGCTGGCACCCATGCTGACAATCTTGGTTATCAATGTGGTGGATGGACAATTGAGTGGCAAGGACTTAGCGGCAACAACATAACAAGTGGTAAGAATTATCCTTCCTGATCAGTAAAAACAGCTTTTGATAGAAGAACACAGAAACCAGACTATATAAGATTATGGGCATCTCCAACTATATGATACTTGACCTATACAATGAGCAGGTACTACTATCCTCACTGCCATAAAGAATACAGTTGATCAACAAACTAAAGTGATCTTTGAGGAGAATCCGGATGCCAACTTTGTCAAGTCCAACAATTTTGCTTACGCAATTGTTGTAGTCGGTGAACATCCATATACAGAGACAAAGGGTGACAGCTTGAACTTGACAATCCCTGATCCTGGTCCGAGCACCATCACAAATGTTTGCGGAGCTGTGAAATGTGTTGTTGTCGTAATCTCCGGTCGTCCAGTCGTGCTAGAACCATATATTTTCTTCATTGACTCTCTAGTTACGGGCCTGGCTGCCAGGATCCGAGGGTCAAGGAGTTACCGATGTTCTATTTGGTGACTATGGTTTCACTGGGAAGCTTCCCCGGACATGGTTCAAGACTGTTGATCAGCTGCCTATGAATGTTGGTGATTCACATTATGACCGACTCTTCCCATTTGGTTTTGGCCTCACTACCAAATCTACCATGGCTAACAAGGCTATTTAGCATTACAAAGATTTTCATATTTGTTTAAGAAACACAGCTATTATGTAACTAGTATCTGTTAATTTTAATTACATATCATTAGAATGAAAGAAGATAATACAAAAATTATAAATCAAAAGTTACCATAAAATTCTTGTTTTCAGACGATTAATTTATTTTTAAATTTCTTGTGATTGATTTCCAGCTTTGAAGTTGTTATTTGCTTCATGAAGCTTCACCTTTGTTGTTCATCTGCTCTTGTATTTCTTGTCTTCATCTCCTTTCTTCCTCTACAGTGGGAAGCCTAGGGAACCCACCCTAAGAATTTGTATAATAGATTAAGAAAATTTTAGTTTTTTTTTAAAACTATGCGGGTACTAACGGGTATACCCGGCAAACCTACCAAAAAAAAGGGTAGAATCGGGTATGAGTCTAATTTTTACGAGTCTGTGAGGGTGGACCTATACCCTATATATTTTGGACAAAAACGGGTCCACCCGCAGATACAGACCTGTTTTGCCAGGTCTATTGAGGATATATACGTTGAATTTTTCTTTAAATATTTCAAAAATAATAATTAGCTAGAAATACATAATACAAGCTCATGATCATTCTTCTCATCCACCCAAAACTTTCCGAAAGTTCATAAGGGCATCTAGAAATTAATCTGATTTGCACAGATATGAAATTACATCCATCATAAAGTAAAGCCAGCCATAAGAAATATAATTAAATTTGAAGTTTAACTCATACAAGCAGCCACAAAAACTCTTAATGACCAAGGTTTTGTTGATCACTTTCAACAATCTTAATGACAAAGGTTTTGTTCACTTTATTTTCAAAACAAAACCCTTTTTACTCAGCTCAGAAAATCACAGAACACCGGTGACTCACTTGTATGGCACTATTGCCCCACACGTTCCAATCAAGCCAAAAATCCAGGTCAGTGACTCAAAAGAGAGTCGTCTTTGAAAAAAGTTATCATATCTTCTGCTTATTCATCCATTATAATGCTTCTTAACTGGTATATAGTAAGGTTAGGGACGGCCAAAAAGCAAAAGCTGGCTTAAAGAAAGAAGGAATCTTCAGTCTTCTTATTAAAAATAAATAAAATAATTAAAGTATCATCTCTCACAAGAAGCAATCCAAAGCTCATATTAGTTTTCAACAAATGGTCTAAAAGCTGCTTCCTCATCAAGTATTTAGTACCTTTTGGTCAATTAAATAAAGATCCTGACCTTTCCCCATCTAGCAGCCGTTAACGGTTATGGATCTGGCCGGCAACAACCATAATGGTTCTAACCATTTTTTGCCAGATCTACAGGGATTTGGCAGCTGACGGCCATGGATTTGGTCTTTGACGTTTCTGGCTTCACATCTACACCATTTTGGTTCTCTAATATACGGAAAATATTAATCTCGTCTTTACGATTTGGCCTCACTAGTCTTGTAAAAATTTTTATTACCCTTTTGGTAAATTTTTCAAGATCCTAACTTTTTTAATACTATAAATAGCCCCCTTAGACTTGCAGCCGTTAATAAAATCCTGATTCTAAAACACTTCTTTATATATATATATATATATAGAGAGAGAGAGAGAGAGAGAGAGAGAGAGGGGAAAACGCTTAAGGTAACATTAACTTAACGATACTGAAAAAATAAAAGATGAACACGACTCTTCAAGTCCTTACGTTGTGATCGACTACTATGGCCAACGTAGAAAAACCCACACTGTCATTCGTGAATTGAATCGCTCATGGAACGAGGTTCTTGAATTCAACATGGAGAAGCCAACGGAAGTTTTCAGTGACATGCTTGAAGTCGACGTCTACCACGATAAAAGTTATGGCCCCGCGAGGAGAAACAATTTTCTTGGGAGGCTTCAGTCGAGTCATTTTGTTAAGAAAGGAGAAGAAGCTTTGATTTATTATCCTCTTGAGAAAAGGAGTTTGCTGAGTTGGATACAAGGTGAAATTGGGTTGAAGATTTATTATGTTGATGCTGTTCCAGCGCCGCCCGTTGCTCCGCCGGAAAAAGATCCACCTGTTCCTGAAGGGGGGAAGCCGGATGAAAAGGCTGAAGCTCCGTCAAGCACTGAACCGTCACTGCCGGCTGATGAGAAACCTGCTGAAGAACCATTCGAAGGTGCCAAAGCTGAAATTGAAGTTGCACCACAACCACCAGCTCCAGAAAATGCGGTGCCTGAAGGGGAAAAGAAACCTCAACCTGACTCGTCAGCACCACCACCACCACCACAAGAAGAGCAACCTCCTGAAGCAAAAGATCAAGAACCACCAAAAAATGCTCAAGAACAAGATCCACCACAGCCGGTGAAAGAGCAAAGTGATATTGAGTTTAATCTGAGTGGATCCAAGTGGGGTCCGTGGGAAACTCCTTCGAACCTTAAATTAGATTTTTTTTTTCTCGATTTTGTGTGGTTTACGTTATGCAAATTCAAAAAAATTGGCTTATAATCTAATCTTATAAACTCTTTCATAATTCAGATGTGACAATTTGTAATCTATTAACTTATAATTAGTCCAACGAAAAAATTTATCAAAAATTAATTATGAATTATCACGTTGAGATTATAAGAGAAATTTTATGAGATTACGCTGTAATTATAATATTACCTATAAAAATTGGGTTTGACAAAATCGACCTAGCTTCAATTGTATACACAACTTTCTTTCATTCACTAATTTTCTTTTTCCCTTTTTCTCAATAACAAAAATCTTATCTAATAATAATTGTGGACAAAGACTAATAGATTGTTTTATTTTATTTAAAGGAAAACAAAATTAAGTCAAATAATGTTTGGACCTTGTAATTTTAAAAGTATTATAAGTGATAACATTAAATATATGGTTTGTATTTCGGTCACCAACTTTAAGAACTCATATAGCTAAATTAAAAGTTTTTGTCAACTATGGTAGTAAAACCACTGTTTTAAAAACTAGATCGGACTAGTCCAACAAGGACCTGGTAGCCTCTCCGATCCGGATTACCATTTTTCACTATTTCCAAAATCTCTAATTTGATTGTCAGCGAATAAGAGGCTACCAAGTGTCGGGATTAGAAGGCTTTTGTAAAGTGGAGGTTGATGGTTCAAGAAGTGGTGTCGAATTGAATTTTGGATGTCGAAATAAGCCAGAATTTGGCCGAAAAATTCAACCTAATATGTGAGTCACAACCAACGAATGGGGCGACTACCAAGTGTCGAGCTTAAAGGGGTTTTGTAAAGGGGTGGTCGGTGGTTTAGTTGTGGTGTTTGATTGAATTTTGGATGCGGTTGTGGTGTTTGATTGAATTTTGGATGCCGAAATCAATCAAAATTTGGCCGAAAAAATCAACCCAATCATAATAGTATACACAAGTCATAGCCAACGAACAAGTCATAGCCAACGAACGGGGGGATATCAAGTTCCAGGGCTAGAGGGTTTTTGTAGAATAGGGGACGATGGTTCAAGTGGTGGTGTCAAATTAAATTTTTGTCCTCGAAATTTGGCTAGAAAAGTAAAACCCAAGCAGATTGCAGAGGTGTATTTGCTAAATTTGAAACTTGTAAGAACTGATTCTTATTTTTTTATAAGTGTGTTTATAAGATTTTAAACTTTTTAGATCACCAAAAACCACCAATTTAATCGGTAGGACCATCAACTCAAGACCCGGTGGCCTTACTGGTCCCTTAACGAGTCAGATTTTAAAACAATTGAGGAAAACCTAATAGAATTATAAAAGAAAAACACTATGCTTACTCACCACTTGTACTAACGGCCATACAACCTTTGTTTAAATTTTACATGGTACCCGTACTATGCGTATAGTACCAATACTATGCATTATATTTACAAAGGATAGTAAGATGGTGAGTAAGTATAGTATGGTTCATTATAAAAAGAGTTAAAACTTTTTCCTACCCAAAAATAACACTTCCTCACCGCTTTAAAAATTCCATTTAAATACCCAAATGTTACATTTCGTTAACAAATTCCGTTTAAAACAGTGATATTCACTGTGAAAACAAAAATACACTTGACAGAATTTAATTTTTTTTTATTATCATTTGTTTAATCAATGGATTCAATTACCTATATGCCACTCTTTTTAATTATGAAATTACCGTCATATCTCCAACAATGTATAAAAATTAAATTACAAATTTGACTGTATGTGCTGCAAACAAAGCTGGTATTTATATTATATTACATTAATTCTGTCAATTTAAACCANAAATATAAAAAGAGTTAAAACTTTTTCCAACCCAAAAATAACACTTTCTCAATTCTCACCACTTTAAAAATTCCATTTAAATACCCAAATGTTACATTTCGTTAACAAATTCCGTTTAAAACAGTGATATTCACTGTGAAAACAAAAATACACTTGACAGAATTTAATTTTTTTTTATTATCATTTGTCGAATCAATGGATTCAATTACCTATATGCCACTCTTTTTAATTATGAAATTACCGTCATATCTCCAACAATGTATAAAAATTAAATTACAAATTTGACTGTATGTGCTGCAAACAAAGCTGGTATTTATATTATATTACATTAATTCTGTCAATTTAAACCAAATGAAATTTGGGAATTTAATTCAAACCACAAACCACAATGCATTTTTTTACTCAATAGAAACCAAATGAAATTTGGGAATGTAATTCAAATCTCTTTAAGCAGCTAACCTGCAATAATCACAAATAAAAACAAGAAATTTGAAAAAAGGGTAGAATAAAAAAAGTTGGGGTCATAGTCACAATTTAGATTCAATACACATAGATGTTGAATCTCTGGAAAATACAAATTCAGAGAAAAGCATGAAGGGCAAAGTTTAAAATACATAGTGGTTGATGATACTCATACCAGGTAAGCAGTCGAAACTGTTATTAATACAATTACTAAGGTCCAAATGAGCCATATATTAAAAACCATAAACTGACCTGACCTGTTTTGATATTCTCAACAGGCTCAGCTGGGAATCTGTTGGTCCAAATTTCTTTGCATCTCATTAAGGCATACTCTTCGTTTCGTTCATAGAAAGTCGCTGGTTTTCCAATGAGTTTTGAGAACCTTGACTCACAGTATTGTCTGTAACTGACCTGAAAAATAATATTGGTAACTTCAATATCTTTGAATGAGTGCAAGATTGTGTTTGGTTACTGAGGAAATAATAAGAAAAGCAAAGGACAAGTGGGAATGAAATTGCCCCTTGTTTTCTTAATTACTAAACCATGCATTTGTTACTTTTAAGCTTAAAATCAAATGAGCTTCTATCAAGGCTTTGATTTCGTATGAAGTTGAATATTAATGCGAATCAATCCGTTATCCTGAGAGCTTCTATATGTACAAAGAACAAACCAACATACTTAAAGCTCTAATTAAACTCTTAATTACCAATAAAAACACTAAATAGAATAAAAGTGATCAAAAGTTCAGCAACCTGAAAATTCAATCCATGCCTAAACATCAACTTACTTTTTCATTACACATAAAATTATAATAAAAAGTTCAAATGTTTATCACCTTCTAAACGGCTTCAACAACGGTAGCACTCTCATGAAGCCACTGGGACTCGTTGACAGTCCTCAAGAACCTGATATTTCACCTGGTGGCCGAGACAAGATCCACACCTATTCTGATGGTTGTTTCAACTTCCGAGATATTGCTGAGAGTTCTTGGCGTTAGTTGTCAGAGATTTCGGTGGTCAAGGTCAATTGCATGAGAATTATTAAAATGCATCAAAAAATTAAAAGCATAAAAGGCAAAATCTAATGCAGGTTTTGAAAGCCCTTCTAACAGGAAAATCAAATAAATAACATTAGGGCCTCAGAATTGCAGAATGTCAGAAAGGCTTAACAAGCCACTCAGTCCCAAAAAAGGGTATTTTGTGAATGATATCCTCCGAGCCACATTTCTCAACACCAAAAGATCAAAACAGAAAAAAAGGAAAATACTTAATTTTACTACCAGTCCTATATGAAAAGCGAAAACTAACACAAGTAAAGCAAAACAAACATACGGCCTCAGAATTGCAGAATGTCACCAAGGCTAAACAAGCCATTCAGTCCCGAAAGATGGTGTATTTTATGAATGATTTCCTCCTTGGCCACATTTCTTCTACACACAAAGAAGAAAAATAGAAAAATGCAGAGAAAATGTTTGTCTCATGGCCAGTCCCAAATGGCAAAGGCAACAACGCTGCTCCACAAGGCGATGGAATATGAGACCACCCATCAACGGAGGAACTCCTCAGAGGGAGGACCATCAACGTCAATGGACATTTATCTGTGACGTTTACTTTGGAATGTACAAACATAGCTGGTTAGCCCCAATAAAGTAAAGGATTTGAGTAATCCCCCGTCGCAAAAATACAAAATAGAAATCATCATCACAACTAAACATAAAACAGAAATTACATAACTAGAACATTAAATAATGCATTAAAGAATCTGTAAAGTCTATTCTTCTATGACGATATAACAAATGTATGTCTCATGGCCAGTCCCAAATGGTAAAAGCAGCAACGCCACTCCACAAGCGATGGAATATGAGACCTGCCCACAGTGGAGCTGCTCCTATTAAGGAGGACCATCAACATCCAGGGCATTTATTTAGACGGTTACTTAGGAATCTACAAACATAAATGGTTTGCCCCAGTCAAGTATTAGAATTCTTTAGAAATCCCTGTCAAATTATAAGTATTTAAGAGAGGTTGCATCGTTACACAAAAGTCATTTATTAAACGTTACAGAAATCACTAAGCACTAAGCAATCAACATAAACTAAACATTCATAATTAGAAATTCAATCACAATGTCATAAACTAGTAAAATAGTTGTGTACTAAAATTAAGATTTTGTATACATACCATAAATTGTATACGTGAATGCAGGAATATCCACAACTAAGTGTCAGAGTGTGCCACAACTGCGAAACAAATTTAATCAATAATAACACCTCCATTACAAAATGTTATCTTACTTAATCTAAACAAAACTCAAAAAGGAACGAAATGTAATCACATAAGAGAAGAATAGTTCCCTCAGAACATAACAAAAGAAGTATTCAGTCATCTAATTATCAGAATTAGCATGGTCAGTAATGAAACACCTCTGGGAACAGTCCTCCTTCAGTGGAGATTATGCAAAAATTCAACACATAAGCACATAAATCTTCACAAGAAATAGAAATGTCAATTCTTTTCACACTCAATCATAAGCAAAATCATGTAACAAATTACATTCAATTTTTTCAGATTCTCTTCACATTGTCCCAGCATAACTATAACTAAGAAACAAGCTCAATTGTGAGCAAACAAAAACAACTTTTTCAAGATTTCAAAAAAACCCATGAGGGAACATTCAAATCATTCAAGTTCCCTCAGGAAAAGTAATCTTTCAGTCATAAAACAATCAGATATACACTAGCATGATTATTTGAACCATCTCAGGGAACAAATATGAACAAACCCAGATGAACAAATACAAAATGAAGAATACCACGATACAGAAGCACATCCAATAATCGCAAAAACAAACAGTTCCTTAAACTGGTACAAATAAAAAAGTTTACATAGCTCAGATAAATGTTGGAAACAGTCTATTCCCTGACCTTTAATGCAAAGGCCTATAGAGCTGGGATTATGCATCTATCATCATTGATATAATTTTTCTTTAGCACAAACAAATTTACATCTAAAACCTAATCACAGCTACAAAACCACAAAACAAATAAATTAAAATCAAATACAAAACCACACATCAACTGGTCTGCTGATTCTATCGCATTACCTCTTGAATCTCCACAACAATGGTGAAAGGGGTGTCATTTGTAAGCCTAGTATTGATTTTTATGGTAGTATTTTCCTGCTTCTACTAAGGAGGGATTAGTAGATAAGAAAGAATTGTTTTGGAAATGAGAATAATGGAATTAAGCCAAATGCTTTTCCTTATCCTTCATTTCCACAAACAATTCTTTGACCATCAATAATACTAAAAATACTAGGCTCACAAATAACCCGCTTTACCATACCAGCAACAATTTCTTCATGCAATCTAATCGCAACACTTGTGTTACCTGTGCGACAATTACAAAGTTTTGGGTCAAAATCCCAAGTCAAAATCCTCCCCCCACAAAAAAAAAAAAAAAAAAAAAAAAAAAAAAAAAAAATTACAAAAGCAATTAATCAAAACATTCAAAGTAATTAAATCATACAAGAGCTCCAAACAACCAGTTGAATGATGAAATTGGTGGTTTGGGTTGCATATTAATCATTAAACAAACGAAATAGCATGCGTCATCAAGAGTGATATTACCTTGTTTACAATCTTTTTGAAGGAATTTATCAAGCCTCCCTTCCTCTTCAACGCTATGTACTGAATATTGTGGTGTCACTTTACATGAATTTATGAACAGAGATGAGATTTTGGTTTTCGTAACCGTTTCAGAAGAAGAAGGCTTTGGACGCCATTTAAGTAGCGCGTTGAGATTGGCATTTGCTGGCGGCGGTCAGGGTTTGAATAACATAGAGGGAATTAGGGATTTTTGATTTAACGGTGGAGAGGAGTATCTGGGCTACTAATTAACGGCCCATAGTGGAAGTGAAGTTTCGACTTGGGGCAACAACTCTAAGAACTCATACATACAACCCATACCATTAAATGTTGTGTAAATGGCAGTAAAACTTAATAGAATTAAAAGAAATATATTTTTTAATTAAAAATTTAGGAATATTTTCTTAATTATAAAAAATAAAATAAAATAAACAGATTAGCTTCTGTATTACTAATTTATAAGAACCCAAATGTTCTACTTTGGACCTTATAATTATAATGAAAATATATTTAACTCTTCCATTTCAAACAATGGAATCCAATTGAGTAGAATTCAATTGATTTATTTAATATTTTGTATAGATTTAATTGACAAAATTAGTATAACCAATCAAAATGAACAAATTCTTAAGAGGTTATAAGTTTGAAGATCTTGAGTTCGAGTCTGCACTCTTGGTGTATTATTCAAGAGGTTCTGAATTCGAGTTATTCATCAATGGTTAATAGGGATACACTATAGCTCTTACTCGACCAATAATTTTAGGGTTTGAGAGATTAATTAAGGTGCGTGTTAACTGGCTCGGATACCCCCAATAATAAAAAATAAAAAATAAATAAATAATTGAACAATTTATTGTTATCAAAACTTGTTAAAACCAATTAGTTTTAATTAAAACAATCATTAGTTATATGTGAAACAACCATAAAGATGATAATTCAAGAATTTAGATAAATGTCTGTTCATCTTCACTATTATTTTTAGACACAATAATAAAGTCGTAAATAATATCATGGTTAAGTGTAACGTTACACCAAATATAAAAAAAATTAAAAGATAAAAAGGAAAAACAAAAATTTTCTAAAATAAAAAAGAAAAGTTTGTATAAATAGTTAAATACCACCTCCGTCCTGCATTGTCTTTCAAAGCAGAACTCTGTTCTGTCACTGTTTCTCTCTGAGTTCTTACGGTAAGTTCTAAGCTCTCTTTACTTTCTTATATGTCTTTGTTGAGAGCATGCACTCCAACTTTCATTCCATTTCTGTTTGTTTCCCGAGAAAAAAAGTGGAAACGGGAGGAATAACATTAGAGCTTGAAACTTCAAAGAATGAAAGAAAGCACTTCTTCAATCTTTATTTAAATACGTAAACAAAGAGATCATAGTAGTTATATTTCTTTCACTTTAATATTCTCGTAACAATGACATGTATGCAGACGGCAATCTTTCCTCACTTTTTCTGGAAATTTTTTTTTAGTTTAATCAATTTTTGTTTTTTGATAATTGACTGCTCTGAAATTCTCTTTTTAATGGAAGTCTAGAGAAATATTTTGTTTCATTTTGTATTATTTTCATGTAATGCAACTTTACACTGTTTGTAGGAATATGACTTGATTTTTTATTTTAGTAGTATTAGAATACCTATTCATGTGGTAGTCTGTGTTAAGATTTCTTATTTTGGAAGAATTATGATTAGCCTTGTTATGTTTCAAGTTATTGATTCAAAGTTCTCAATAAAATTTCTTATTACATCCTTTTGGGAATTTAGTATTTTCGGCATTAACCACTCGAGTTCGTGTTGTAAGGTTTGCTTCTCTGCAATTTTCTTTTTCTAACTTTTTACTTTTCTTTGGTTGCTTTAGAATTTAATGGTAGCTTTTCTTGGGGATTTTCCATATATTTATTTCTTTCTTGATGATGTTCTCAAATTTGATTTCAATCTGTTGATTTTTAATCCAAAATAGTTCTTTTATATGTGTTTGTTACTTTTTATTTGTTGAGCTTTCTGAGGTTGAGCAATTATATTAACATTCAATGTTCACCATGAACTTTACAACTATTTAAATGGTGTTTAATTGATCCTTTTTTTTTTTTGTTGTTTCTTGGAAATTCAGGTATTTGGAAAAAATATGGGTAGAATTTGTGTCTTCTTTATCGGGCTTCTGCTTCTGAGTTGCTTAGTTGAAGCAGAATATATGAAATATAAAGACCCCAGACAACCCATAAATGTTCGAATCAAAGACTTAATGAAAAGGATGACTTTGGAGGAAAAAATAGGCCAAATGACACAGATCGAACGTGATGTTTCATCAGCTGATGTGATCAAGAATTACTTCATAGGTAAGTTCACTCATCACTTTTGGCCACAAAATGGAGTTTTTCCAAGTTAAGCTAAATATATATAGCATTTTGGCAGGGAGCCTGCTGAGTGGAGGAGGAAGTGTTCCAGCTAAAAACGCTTCAGCAAGGGCTTGGATTGAGATGGTCAATGGTTTTCAAAAGGGTGCTTTATCTACCCGACTTGGAATTCCGATGATTTATGGTATTGATGCTGTTCATGGCCACAACAATGTTTATAATGCAACAATCTTCCCTCATAATGTTGGCCTCGGAGCTACGAGGTAAGTAAATATAATGAATCCTAAGATTTAACATTAGCCTAAAATTTCTGGCATTTTTTATGAGATGTGTATTCTTATTAATCAGGGACCCTGAACTGGTGAAAAAGATTGGAGCTGCAACTGCACTTGAAGTTAGAGCTACAGGAATTCCATATGCTTTTGCACCTTGTATTGCGGTACATTATCAAATTCAACAACTAATGGATGTCAGGATAGAACTCTTTAGCTTAATTGAGGATTCCTGATAAATCTTCTATCTATACAGGTTTGCAGGGATCCGAGATGGGGTCGATGCTACGAAAGCTATAGTGAAGATCCTAAGATTGTTCGAGCAATGACTGAGATTATACCGGGACTACAAGGAGATGTTCCTGTCGGTTCTCGAAGAGCTGTCCCATTTGTCTCTGGAAAGTAAGAAATACAATCCAAAATTTTAAGATGAATGTTGACCAGTCTTTTGCTCATTTATTTTCTTGCATTCTGGATGATCACAATAATCTAATTATCAACATATACAATAAATTATCTCCGTAGAAAACTATTAACATATTGAGAAATTTTGCTGTTCAATTTTATGATTAAATTTAAACCTGTATTTTTCCACAACAAGGGTAACCGTCCATAGAAGCATTGCAAAACTGCGGGCAATTATTAGGAAACTTTTCTTGTCATTATTTTATATTTGTTAATCCTATACAACTGTAGTTTTAGCTCTAATATCAGTCAAATGCATTCTGCATTTATCCCTTTAAGTGCCTGTCCGTCCCATTAAGGTTATCCTCAGCTGTAAAGGTCAAATTTTGCTACTCCTGATAACTGTAGAGACAAGAATTCTGCAACCTAACTCTCTGTCATAGTCAAAGAAAGTGATGGAAATGGGACTTCTGTTTGTTTATTCTTGTCTAAGGACTATGAGATGTGGACCACTATTCCGCTAGCGGAAACAAGATTAAATTAACAGTCTCTAATCTGCATTCTAGTAATAAATTGTCTGGTTATAAAAGATTGGAATTGCACATTCAAAACTAGTGGCATTCTCGCTTTCAAACTAATAATAAACTTTTGATTCTATTTGCACAGGACAAAGGTTGCAGCTTGCGCCAAGCATTTTGTGGGTGATGGTGGGACAATTAACGGCATAAATGAGAACAACACTGTGATAGATAGGCATGGTTTGCTCAGCATACACATGCCAGCCTACTATGACTCCATTATCAAGGGTGTATCAACTGTCATGGTTTCATACTCTAGCTGGAATGGAGTTAAGATGCATGCTAACCGTGATCTTGTCACCGGATTCTTGAAGAATACTCTTCGCTTCAGGGTATAATCGATTCTTTGTTATGTAATTTAAGTTTCTACATCTATGTGAAGTAACTGAGAGTGACTATTGTGAATTCTTTCAGGGTTTTGTCATCTCAGATTGGGAGGGTATTGACAGGATCACAAGTCCTCCACATGCTAATTACACATACTCCATTGAAATGGCAATCAATGCAGGCATTGATATGGTGAGTTGTTAGTCTCATAGTATATGTACTTTTATCAGATTCCTATCAAATTTTCGGAAACGTTTTATCTTCTAATGCTGAAACTGTATGTGTGACAGGTCATGGTCCCAGAGAACTATACAGAATTCATTGATGGTCTAATTTCCCTGGCAAAGAAAAATGTCATCCCCATGAGTCGCATTGATGATGCAGTGAAGAGAATTCTGAGAGTCAAGTTTGTGACGGGTCTATTTGAGAATCCCTTAGCCGATGACAGCTTGGTTGACCAGCTTGGAAGTCAGGTCATTCAGTAGTAAATCAAAATTTACTTCTTATGTTACAAAAACTAGTACTGAAAAATTCTTAATGTGGTCCTGTTACTTGGAATAGGAGCATAGAGAATTGGCTAGGGAAGCTGTAAGGAAATCTCTTGTGCTGCTAAAGAATCGTGAATCAGCTGATCAGCCATTGCTACCTCTTCCTAAAAAGGCATCAAAAATACTAATTGCTGGCACCCATGCTGACAATCTTGGTTATCAATGTGGTGGATGGACAATTGAGTGGCAAGGACTTAGCGGCAACAACATGACAAGTGGTAAGAATTCTTCCTGATCGTAAAAACAGCTTTTGATAGAGAAACACAAAAGCCTGACCATATAAGACCATGGGCATCTCCAACTATATGATACTAACTAACATGATATGACCTATATAATGAGCAGGTACTACTATCCTCACTGCCATAAAGAATACAATTGATCAACAAACTGAAGTCGTTTTTGAGGAGAACCCAGATGCCAACTTTGTCAAGTCCAACAATTTCTCTTATGCCATAGTTGTAGTTGGCGAACATCCGTATGCAGAGACAAAGGGTGACAGCATGAACTTGACAATCCCTGATCCTGGTCCAAGCACCATCACAAATGTTTGTGGAGCTGTGAAATGTGTTGTTGTTGTAATCTCCGGCCGTCCGGTCGTTTTGGAACCATATGTTTCTTCAATGGATGCTCTTGTAGCTGCCTGGCTTCCAGGATCAGAGGGTCAAGGAGTTTCTGATGTTCTATTTGGTGACTATGGTTTCACTGGCAAGCTTCCCCGGACATGGTTCAAGACTGTTGATCAACTGCCTATGAATGTTGGTGATGAACATTATGATCCCCTCTTCCCATTCGGGTTTGGCCTCGCTACCAAACCTACCATGGCTAACTAGGCTATTTATCTATATGGTATATCTACCTTCAAACAACTTTTAAGATTTTCATATATTTTGGAAACATAGTAATTGTCATCTAACTAATATTTATAAGTTTTGTATCTAGCATGCTTTCAGTACTCATTAAGAAATGTGATAATGTTGTTGCAAGGAGTTAACGCAATGCTTTATATCTAGCATCCTTTCAGTAATCATTAAGGAACTTAATCAGATATTTGTTGACCTTTTAACTAAACACATTCAAACATCTTCTAATATTTTGTTTCAAAGCAAGAAATATAAAAGTCAAACTAACTGTGAAAAATTAATAGTTTCATAAAAGAGATTTTATAAGGTTCTCCCTAAAAACATTGACATCCCTAGGGACTAACAATTGCACATTGTACGCAGTTATAATCTTTACACCGTGATTTTATCTACATTCTGATTTTCTCAACCGCTCAATCACACTCTTATTTTCGTTCTTTCTCTCTCTTTTCTACTAAAGAGTTGTAATTTTCTAATTCAAGAATCTCCCTCTTATGAAAAGAAATTTCTGAGAGCCATATCTACAACTTTTGATATACAATACAAAACAGTAAAACCACGTGAAAATTAATAGAGCATATTCCTTAATCATGCTTTTACTAGGACCTTGACAGAAACAGAAGGTTTAACTCCCGCGATACAGTGATCTAAGCTTAATGTCATTAACAGAACAACAAATAGGAAAGTACATAAGAAAAACATGAGTAAATGATAGTGTTAATTGCCTTCCATTCCGCATAATATCAGCCATCTGGTCTAACGGCAATATGCAATTGACACCAAAAAGTGAATTTCTTTTGATAACCTAAAAGGGAATAATACTGTTGACATTCACCTGGGAATAGAAAGGGAAGGCAGAACATAAACAGTACAATAAAAAAAGAGGTCCAGCAGTAGATCTTCACTCAACAGAGTAAGAAGTAAGATGTTGATTTATTCATCACAGCAAATACAAAGGTGTTTTATTCACACAAAGAAACATATACATCTACAGAAACATTCATACTACAAAAGTGAAAGGATAAGTACAAATCATGTACCATGGTGTGATGCTACTCAGCCACAGTCCCAGCTTTATCTGTTTGCTTCTGAGTCATGTCACCACTCTCATGCTCAGCTTCTTTAATCTGCCTCAGAATGTCAGCTTTTTCCTCCATGAGAGCCTCTATTTTGCCATTGATTTTCTCCAACTTCTGTTTTAGCTTATCAATACCCTTGCTCTTTCCCTTCCCGTCAAGTTTTCTTTTCTTCTCAGACTTTGTCTTTTCTTTTCCTTTCTGCTTCTTCTCCTCCCCTTCAGCTTCTAATTCTTTCTCACTTTCTTCTATTTGAATCTCCCTGGAGGTCGCCTCAACCTCACCCTTTACCCCATCCTTGCCTTTTTTCTTCTCTTTCTCCTCTTTACCTTTCTTTTTCTTCTTTTCTGCTTTCTCTTCATCTTTGCCATCTTTCCCCTCACTCTCATCATCCTTGTGCTCTTTTTTCTTCTCCTTATCTTTCTTTTTCTTCTTCTCTTCATCTCCATTTTCATTTCTGGCTCCTTCAACCACTTCATCCTTGTGCTTTTTATCTTTTTTCTCCTTACTTTCCTTCTTCTTCTCCTCATCCTCGTCCTTTTTCTTCTTCTTCTCTTCCTCCTCATCTTCATCCTTGTGCTTTTTCTTCTTCTCTTCTTCCTCAGCTTCATCCATCTGCTTTTTCTCCTTCTTTTTCTTCTCTTCTTTCTCCTCACATTCACCTTCACTTCTCTTGTCCTCCTTTTTAGTTTTTCCCCCAGTTTCTTCCTCTATCTTCTCCTTTGACCGTCCATCTTTCTTCTTCTTTTTCTCTTCCTTTAAATCCTTCTGTTTTTTATCCTTTTTCTTGTCTTCTTTTTCTTTCTCTTTCTTTTTCTGATCTTTATCTTCATCCTTCGTCTCTTTCTCTTTTACCTTCTCTTTCAATTCTTTATCCTTTTTCTTTGATTTCTTTTCATTCTTATCTTCATGTTTCTCTTCCTCGCCCTTGTGTTTTTTCTTCTCCTTCTCCACTGATTTGGTCTTCAATTCAATCTCCACCTCTGTCTCCGTTTCATTCTCAACATTTGGTTCTATATCTTTGGTCTTAACTTTGATATGCGGTTCTTCCTTCTTGAACTTATCTTCTCCACCAACAATGGATTCAGATTTGTCTTCCATCTTCAAATCTTTATCAAAACTTGAAACGTTCAAGATAAACCTTTTTGTTCAAGTCAGGTAACCTGAAACAAATGCGTAGTAGGCAAGGAAGCAAAAAACCATTTTAGATAAACAACAAATGGTAGAATTTGAAATGAATACATAAACCAGATTCTGAAATAAAAAACAAATAGATCCAACAACACATATTGCACTCTAATTAGTACTGCATAGGTAGAAACTATCTGTATCCAGAGTGCACTGAAATGGGAAAAATTGTTCCCTACCGCAATGAGCTCTCGCTACAAATTTTTTCACAGTATCTGAACAATTTCATCCACCAAATATAGGGATTAAGCATGGAGAAAAATTTTAAACGAGCAAAAATTCATAATAAGATTTGAATTGAGCGAAAATCAAGAGTCAGCATGTAACACAAAAAAGAGGAACAGAGTACAAATGTTGCATGACTTTTCAAGAAAATCAATAAAATAGCTTTAAAACCATTTCATTATCAACTCATTTTTATTAGTGCCTCCACCAAATTACTGTATTCAAAGTATGTATTTGAACATGACTATACTGATGTTCTCCTTTCAAACAAATGGAAAAATAGCATGCTTCTGTTTGTAGAAAATTAGAAGCAGAACAGGAAAAATGCAAATACAAATGCTACCATATATTCTAAGTATGTTATTCTTCAGGAAAATTTAGAATACAAGATCTAGAATTTACTTGACAAAAAAACTAATCAAGTTTGGCCAAAATAAGCAGCAAATACTTTGTTTACAAAACAATTCTGTCAGAATTTTAATTCAAAAACTCTCTACTGAAATCCCCCTGTGGCTTCTAGAAAATGTTAAGTCCAATTATGTATGATAGTAGTTACAAAATTTACAAAAAAAATCAGAAACATTGAAGGTTGCACCAAAAAAAAAAAAAAAAAAGCATTGGCAAGAACATCAATATCCAATCATGAATAATCCAAATAACTATAACCCTCTTTTATCTTTGATTCCCTAACTCCTCTGAGGAGAGAGAAATTAAAAATGCATCAATCAAGATAATATAATTCTCCAAATGTGGCTTAAAATCTAGACATTAATCATATAATATTTTCACAAACTATAATTCCATTTCCAGAATCGGTTTCTGCAACATCACAGACATCAACTCAATCAAAACAAAATACAAACAACTGTTACTGGATCAAAAATTTTAACATCACACAACAAAACAAGATCAGTCGATGAACATCTCAACAGCACACAATTAAATATGAAAAGAAACAAAACTACAAGAAGATCACACAAATTTCATAGAAAACAAAGAAAAGAAAATACCTGAATTGAGTTACGTTTTGAAAGAAAGATGACCAAAAATAGAAGAGGGTAGGAATAGAAAGACGTGGGTTGTGGAGCATTTATAGAAGTAGGGTTAGCTTTGGTTGTGTCACCTGGAAGCAACCTAAGAGTCGGTCATACGCAGCCAATTGGACCCAAATTTCAAATGTGACTTTGGAGAGTTTGGTTGGACGTGCACTCAGGGTGATCTTACCGCTTTCTTCTTAGCTGTTAAGGTTTCCATGTGCCCGCTGGGTAATAAGCCCAAAGGCATTCACATGAAGCAATATACAATTGGACCCAAATCTCAAATGCGAAGATATGGGCTTCAGCTCATAATTGAAGAGTGGTAATTGGATCATTTACTGAACAGTGATGTTATATCCACAATCTCTCCTATAACTTTTGATATCGCAACTCATAATTTGTTAAATTATAATTGAGTGGGTGAGACCCATAGCAAGCAGACGGAACCCATTTGTGAATTAACCAATTGCAAGTTCTTACGTTGAGGGTTATAAAAAAAAGGTGTGAGATTGGATTGTAGACCTAGTATTACTCTTACAGTAATTTGGTGAAGGCACTAATTACATGTAGATGGTTGGATCACGATTTAATCAAACAAAAATGTTACAGGTGCAAAAGTTATGCCAAAATTGTTATTTCAAAGTGATGGTGTAATTCTAGGTATTATTGAGATATGAATGAAGTGATGATTTGGTAAATAATACAACAATGTCGAATAAAATATAATTTCACCAAGGACGTGACTTTCCGAATATACTGTAGAATGTGTAATATCACTCTTATAGCGTTAATATCGGTATTGATGCTATATATGATTAAATATCATAATATATAACATAAATAGTTTAATGAATTAAGTACTAATTGAAGATGAGATTAATAAATTAAACTGATTTGTTATATATAAAATGAAAGAAAAATATTATGTATTAGTTAATATTTATATTTTGATTTATTATTATTATATATAATTGCCCTCACTCACAAAATTGGCGGCGTCTCTCACTAGTCACTAGGGGTAGGCGGGTTCGGGTACCCGCCCAAAATCAAAGGAACCGGAACCAAAACTGGAGTCGGCCGGTTCCTTTGATTTGGAACTGGAACAGGAACCGTCGGTTCCAATTCCTAAAAACTTGGAACCGGAATCTGTAACACAGGTTCAGGTTTCGGTTCCGAGTACCTTGGAAAATATTAATTGCCCACCTTTTTTTTTTAAATGACAAATAAACCCTTATAAAATTATAATTACACCCCTAACAATTAAGTGCAAAACATTAAATAATATATTTGTTTATATTTACTTGATGTTCGATGCTTGATTATTGTAGACGTAAAAATCTACTTGTACGGAAAGAGGGGTCTGATCCCGTGAGGTTGAGGCCACTAGTGATCTGCTGTATCTGCACACGTAGAGAAACGCACGCGTGAAGCGAACGGAAAACACCAGGGTGGTGTTTGCCGTAGGCACTCCGACGCTCAAGTCAGCAAGGCTGAAAGGCTAATATAGTGAGGGCTAGGGAATAAGAGGTTACCGGAAGTCTAGTCGGGGACTGTGACTACGACGAATAAGTAAAACTCTCGAGTAAAGAGTCGGGTGTGAAGGTGTAATGTCGATGTCCTTTGTGAGAGGGCTGGCCTCTGCTTATATAGTGGTAGTCTGGTCTTCCAATCCTGGTGGGAGCAGGAGTCCTAGTGTGACTGTGATGCCAACCCTAGAAGAATCAGGGCCGTAATCAGCTGTCCTTATCAGTGTCTAAATAGGAAGTTAGCTCCATTTAGGAGAATGATCCTCAAGTGGGAAAGTCGCCAGGAAAGAGGAAGACGACCTTGAATAGGGGGTTGATCAAGAATGGGAAAATGTTGAAAGGGCTATGGGCTCACCCATAGGCCTAGTTATTGGACAGAGCTTAAGAGGCTCGCGCACATGTAGTTCGGGCAGATTATATTTCGTGAGAGATAGGGCTAATCCTAATTGGGTCTGGTCATTCTTCACCAGTGATCTTGTTTTCCCTATTTGGGCCGAGGACGATTTTTGGCCCTAACAGTTTGTCCCCCACTCTTTGAGTTGAGAGTAACTTAAGTAAGAGAGTAGGTTACGTAGAAGGCGAGCTCGGTCTTCCCTTATGGACGAACGACCATTGAGGTGATTCTGACCATTGCAGGTGATTCTTGGTTGAATCCCGCTCGGTATGTCCTCCCGTCCTAAAATTTTCTATCATTGTGCGGCGCCTGGTCGGTTCGGCGAGCCGAAGAGTAGGGAGCCAGATGCGATCGGTCGGTACATCTGCACGACTAGCAGGAGACTATTAAAGAGGCACTCATTCGTCATGTCAGGTCGGACAGGTTCAAGAAGTGCTAAGAGCTTCGATCGGTCGGTACGATGGGACGACTAAGCGGGTGAGGCATCTCGAGTGCACGTCGTCCACTCGTTCTTTACGGACGGGTGATTGGGCGAGATTCAAATCTCGTTCCGAAGATTGTTCGACCCGGACCATTCTCAACTCGTACATCGGTCAACCAGGCCTTCCGGGCCGACTGAGCATGGGATGCTTGGGAAGATCCCCGAACCGAAAAGTCAGTCGGGTGGATCGAGTGGCCGAGTGAATTTGTTGGGGCGTGTAGACTGGACGCATGTCGGATTCATTCCAGGCGGTACGAATGGAGTCAGTCGGAAGGAACGGGCGATCGAGACGCAGATTCCGTACGGAACAAACGATTTCCCAGGTGATTCGGATTGCTGCCACGTGTATGGTGGTGATTTGTCCGTCGTTTCGAGAGCGGGAAAACGAAGAGACTCCTGACACCTGACCAATCATAGCCTGCCACGTGTTCATGCTTTCTTTACAAAATTGGAGAATCGGCTGTTCGTCTTCCATTCGCGTTGGTTTTGGGTTTTTATCTGAAAATTTTCTTTTCTTTCTTTTCTTCGTTTTTGTCCCAGTTTCTTGAGCGAAGGTGGTCTTTTCTACAATCATCCAAGGTAATTTTTCCTTTTGAGGTCGTTTTGCTGTTCTGTAGGTAGATTTCTTTTTGATAAAATTTCTTGGAAGCAAGATAAGGATGTTTTGAGTTTTTAAGTGGGTTTAAACTGGGTTTCCAAGCGTTTTGGTGTTAGGATTTTGGTGAATAGGCGTGGGTTTGAGTTTTCCGGTGGATATCCGGGAAGAATCTGGTCGTAGGTGAATTTTTTCTGGGTTTTTTGGATTGGGTCTGGAAGACGAAGTCGACTATGGCGTTGTTTGGGTCGGTCGGTACGCCTGACCGAGTGGCGAGGAGGCGTGTGGTTGATTAGGAGATCGGTCATTCAGGGCGAGTGAGTTTAGGTTGAGGGATTAGTGATCGAGGTGAGTAGACGACTAGGATTGAAATTGGAGGTGGATCGGTCGTCTGGGGCGAACGAGTTGGTGCTCTAGTTATTTTGGCTTGGGGTTGTTCGGTTGGAAGCGTCAACCCAAGGCAGAGGCTCTTTGTCGGGCAGGTTGATTTGCGAGTTCTCATTCTTTCAATCGGTCGGCTAGGTGGGACGACTGGCTAGGATTCCACTTCGGTAGAACGGGTCGACCGAGTTTGAAGAGTTCGGTTTTGAGGGCATCGTTCGGTGTTGAAGGGCGACCTGTGGTTAGTTGACACTTGTGCTTCAGTTCTAGTCTCCTAAGGAACGAGTCGGTTAGTTGGAATGGGCGAGTGATCCGATGTCAGACGATACGTCAGCAGGTTCGAGTCAAGAGGTGGTGGACGTCGGGGACGAGTATGAGCGTGCCCCGACTATGGTGATGATGCCTGAAGGGAGCGTTCCGATCGATGTGCCGACCGCAGTTAGTGTGGCTGCCCCAGGGTCGAGTGGAGCTGGGCCGAGTGGCTCGGGTCGGTATGGTAGGAGTGGGGAAGACTCCGGAGAGGCTGGTAGTCCCTCTTCATCCTGTAGTAGCTCTGAGGAAGGGCCGAGCCAGCAGGGTAGTGGGATTCTGACCAGGGATTATCCGCCCGTGCTGAGGGATAGTGACGTGTGGCGTATCCGTACACTGTATCATATCCCTGGTTCTGTTAAAGTCTGTTCCCCGCGGTCGTACGAGCGGGTTGATTGGGAGGCTGAAGGTTGGGTCTGCGTGTACGAGAAATGGTTTCATGATGGGCTGAGGTTGCCTGTGCCTCGCCTCGTCTGGGAGGTGCTGAATCACTTCATTATCGCCCCTTCCCAACTTATGCCGAACACCTGGAGACTGTTGATGGCTTTGGAGGATCTGTGTGTTCGGCATCAAATTATGTTTGGGTTGCACGAGCTGTTGTACTCGTACTTCCTAAAGGAGAACGATAAGGAGAAGGGTCGATATCTGCTAAACTTGAGGCACAACCGGTCTCATCTGGTGACCAACCTGCGATCTAGTGACAAAAACTGGAAAGATCGCTACTTTTTCTTGAAGGGTCAGGCCGTTTTTAGAGACAGGAGCACGGGCGAGATCCCAATCGGCTGGCGAGCCACTGGTGAGGACTTCGTTGTTTCTTTCGTACTTTTGATTACTAAATCTTGATTATGTTTTTTGTTTGCAGAGCTCGATTTCAATCGCGCTGGGCAGAGCGGGGACGGCTTGGACGTAGCTACCCAGAGGGTGTTAGCTATCCCCTTGGAGCAGAGGGATTGGCGAGTGGTGCTGGCAGAGTCTAATCTGCGGAGCAGTATTCTTTGGGCCGGAGTAGAGGCTATTCAGAGAGGTACTCCTTTCCCTTCGCTGAAGCAGACTTGGGATGTGCTTCTTAGTCGATACTGCAACCATATCATTTTTGGTGAGTCCGGGCTGAACCCACTAACCGTTGGAGAGTTTGCACTTGCAGAGTCACTGATGAAGAAATTAACTGTCCCGAGCGCGAGTGAATCCATAGCCAGGCGTCGGGAGAAGAGGAAGAGGGAGTCGTTGGTAAGGGCGGATGCGAGGGTTGAAGATGTATTGGCGACACCGCCCAGTCGGCAACCACCGAGTCAACAGCCTTCGACGGGAGTAGGGTCGTCCCAGGTTGCCGTTATGGATGAGGAGGCCGAGACTATTACCATTACGATTCTGGCTACTGCGTCGACTTACTCGGACGCGACATCTATGAGTAAGCTGGCCGACTCTTTCTTGTTCCCA